ATATGGAAAATATGCACAAAAAATTATTTCTTGTACTTGTTTGGCAGCAAATTACGCCTTCTTTAAATTTTATACTTAGAGAAATGGTATCCTTCGATTTTAGAGAAATTTCTAATCATGAGCTTTTTACGATTGTGAAGTGTTCATTCATAATACGTCGTATCCGTCAATTTATTAATTCTGCCTATACTCTATGAAGCATGTTCCACATCTATCGCAATATTTTATGAGAACTATATGGCTTCTTCCTCAAACTGTAGGCGAAAACGTACTTTTCCTTAAACAGAATCTACACAGTGTGCAGTTTTTAAACCTTGAATTCGAGAGTAGCAGTCGGTAGGTTTCAAAATTATTCGGTAATTTAGAAACTTTTTAAAACCGAAGGATACCCTTTCTTTAAGTATAATATTTACAGAAGGCATAATTTGCTACCAAACGAGTACAATAAATAATTTTTCCATAAAATATATTTGCATTTATAAAGGCAGTCAAAATGAATGATAAAATACCTACTATTTAAGTAGTTACTTTTTATAGTACGTACGTTTTGTTCGCGGTCAGAAATAAGCTCGTTAAAAACCGACATCCTATCATGACTGAAATAACTTTAGAATAGACTACATGATAATCAGTATCACAACCTGAGTCGATGCCGATTAGTGAAAGAGTACCAATCTTTCGCATATGTCGGCATGTTGCACGAGTTTTGGCGCGTACTGTATATACGTCGGTTGGCCTACTTCGCCCATTGAAAAACCGATTTTTATCCCTCTTTTTTATTTGAACTACAATGAGGTCAACTGTACACGAGGCTAGCGCCGATTTGAAAGCAGTCTAATTTGGCCTATATTTGACGAATTTTCCAAGGACACTTATCCACTATGTCGACAAGTGCAGTAATTGGCGATTATGAATTACTTTTTATTCCCCGTGTTGTGAGTTTGTGCGCCTAATTTATACATTTTGAATGGAGGATGTTCTTTTGCTGAAATTTTTGGAATAATGTGAAGCATGGTCGACGGAAGCCAAAGATTATGTTAAAAGGGTGCGTATAAATCCGAGGCTACAGCTCCATCGCCACGAATATTCGCGTGTACCATGCATCCGCCCGGTCGCTATGGCTGTGAATATTGGGCTGTAAGACGAGCAAAAACTGGAGGTATCTGATCACCACTGCTTGAGGACTATCCTACAAGTGAAGTATTCCGAATTCCTCTCAAACGAGACAGCCCGCGTTCGCTGCGACATCGCAAGGACATCCTAGGCAAATACGACTAGAGCGGTTTGGGCACGTTCTGCGCAGTTCACCTCATTAGCTTAGTGTTCATATCTTCGATCTAACACCGTTACCCGAGTGGAGAAGTCGAAGAAGCTGTCAGCTCAAAGCCTGGCTCGACAGAGATCGCCAAGACAGGGTAATGATTCTTGGACTTTCGGTATTCGGGCGCCGTCATTGGCGAAGAGGATTGGTTGAACTGTCCGGGGCTGCAACCGCGGATCTTCACGCGTAGAGATACAATATCGTGAAATAACAGCGAGGCCAGCTAGATCAGGTGCGATCAAAAACCCTACTAAGTCAGTCCGGTGCACACCCCAGTTTGGTTTTAGTCAAAGATGCATGCGGCGAATTGATGACAAAATGACTTATTCCTTATTGTCCCCTCATTGTACGATGGACTCCTGTACTATCCTGAAAGCTCCAAAAATAACGCGACTCTTCCTCAAAGCCGCCTCCCTGCTCCCTGCCACTCCAATCTTTCTTGCCTTCGGCGGAAATAATTATTGGCTTGAATATGGCACGTGGTTAGTACGATCAGAAAAAAATGTGGAGTTCGTACTCCACGGTGGCGTTAGTATTGTGTTAGAGGAATTTAACGCAGTTCGGGGCCTTACTGATATATATATATATATATAGATATATACAAGAGACTGGGACAGATAGGCAGTCTGGCTGGTCACTGAAATAGGACGGAAAATAAGTAATTGACGGCTAATAAGTAATTAAACAAGCTCTGAAAGCATCTAGTGATGCCTGGAAAGACAATATCGCTCAAGTGCACATGCACCGGTGGTTGTCTCACCTCGGAGTCGATGTCAGAATCACCCTCATTGGCGGGATACGGAGCTTGAGATCCATTCCAGGGCCGACCAGAGGTAGCGGCACCTTTTATGTAGTTGCTCGAAGAAAAACGACTATCCAGAGAGCGTCCTGTGTCTTGTCCACTGTTGGGCTCGTTTCTGGGGAAAGGCATCTCCGGGGATAGAACATTAAGACGTCCAACGGACTCGGAAACGTCATCTTCGGTTGCCGGGGCAGCATCTTCGATGACTTCAGAGACCCAGGGGTTGGGAGTGTTGTGCGTCTCAGACGTAAAA